GTAGCAGTAGCAGCAGTAGTAGTAGGGGGCCCTACAATTACAAAGGAGACATGTAACCTGCACTAGATAATGAGAACCCGACCCACTCATGCAACAGCCTTGCTCTCGTACAGACCGAACATACCAGGTTACATTTGTAGGTCCAGCCAAGCTTTTGATGTGCTGCTGGAGAGGGGTCTTCGGCCGGTAGAGCCAGGAGTCCTTGAAAGTTGTGCTAGAAGCTCCTGCCAATCCGCTGGATCGCCGCGTGCTGACACTCACAGCCACCAGAATCTGCCAGCCCGAGACTGAATCTGATGTATTCGGGATCGTAGAGGTCCTTAAGTCTTAGAGTTTCCAAAGTCTTGATTTCTATTGATTTTCGTAGTTTCCTTGCCTGGCAAAGAATCCACAGACTGGGGCCCGCTTCACAGACTACGGCGAAGTTGTGAATAGTCAAGGCTTCCGAAAGTGCCCGCATCATTAACAATGAACTAGCAGTAACTAGCCGAAATGTAGTGCAACCGCCAGTTGATGTCGGACTCACGTTACCTGATCTTCTGTCTGCTGTCCTGTTGCTTGTGGCTCGTACCGCGTGCAGGTCAAGGCAGCTTTTGGCCCTTCCTGGCTTGGCCAGATTACATGACCTGCATGGGCCAGGCAGAGTATAGTATCGGTCTGGGCGCTACTTTCACTTCCTGCAGTGATTTCCTTTAGGCGGGCTACTCCGTCACCCCCGATGCACCATCAAATCCAGGGCAGGCGCTCTTTGCTGACCGGTCGGCACTCACATACGGTCACGATCATCACCTGTCGGGCACTCTAGGCATGCCAGCCTAGAGGCCAGCGAGTTTTGTTCAACAGTCCAGTGTTAGAGCAGGTGTCATGGACGCGAGATGTGTTGCAGCGAGGCTTCATGCTACGGAGATGAACCAGTCGTCGCTTTGGGAACTTGAATATGCAGCACTGGCAGGTTACCATATCCGGCCGACCATTTTCTGCTGGGTGCCTTGGCAAGTCCGAGACGCCGCCATCCCAAGGGTCGGGTGGATCTGCCTCAATGCTCTGCTTGTTCGGTAGGTGCTGGTCCAGCACGCGGGCAAGGTACAAACGCGGCTGATGCAACTTGCAAGCTGTAAGCCCATCCCAGATGCTGTGGCTGTGAGGAGCCAAAGTTGCTTAATTGGCAGCGTCAGCGAGGCATTCCGCTGATTTCCGAGCTTGCAGTCTCAACTCGGAGACGCGTCTGCGCATGAACTCAATAATGGGTGCTTTCGCCGTTCCAGACCTTGGTATCTTCGCGTGTGATGGCTGGATGGTCATCAGCAATGCCTCGGCTAGAGAGGCCAGCAACAAAAAAAGTCTATGCACGTATATCATACCGCATCCGAGCAAACTGGCAGCCGATGTTTGAAACAGGTGTTGCCTGCTGAGGCTTGGCAAACGTTGCAGACTCAGAGTTTGTCTGGAGGTTGCCACGGCAAGATTGCGCCAGCCATAGACACTGGACATGGTAGACGACCTTCACTGTTGGTGAGGAACTTCAGTGTGATCCAGGGCAACACTGCTGGCAGGAACCGTGCTGGGTTGCGGGTCTTGTGTGCAACAGTGTGCAACGGGCGACTCCGGAAATTCCTGCAGTCGAGGACCTTCCGCACTGTCCACGGTTCCCCGGCCGCAGGGTGAACAGGCTGTCCGTGTGGGGGTGGACGGTCGTCAGGCGAACTGGTTAGCGAGTCAGCTGACGCAGGGGTCGCGACCTTGGCTGAACGAGTCGCTTGACGGCGAAGCTGTGATGGTGAACGATCGTCAAAGGTCTATGCAAAGGCTTGGAAGGCAGTTTTCGACAAGGGCACTTTCCGTTCGGCCGGCCTGTTTCCCAGCGTCATCGAGCGCCTCTCGGCGTCCCGAGGAACTACTTTGCAGATCTTAGCATGAGCATCAAGCGGAGCTGCGAGGTTGCCGCCCACGAGCAGTCCACTTCCACCAAAGCATTCCTCATGGCATCGGTTTGTGTTTAGCAACCTTGTGGCTTTGTCGTGCTCTGAGCCAGAAGGCCACTCTCTGGTGACTCTTGTGGTTTCGCACAGGGCATGAATGATGGTGAGGATGGTGATGCTTATGCTTGCGTCTGGGCCCACTTTGAATCAGAAGCCCCCGGCTGTTCAACCTTCTTACCAACTCGAAATATCTGCCGTGCCGTCATCGGCAGGCGATTACAGGCTTGAATTTGCTTGCTTGCTGAATGCTTGTGATCCTGAACCTTCCGCCGGACAGTTCGAATGAAGTGCTGGCATTGGTTGCGCGGCATCCCCTCGTAATCTGGCAGAGTCTCAGCGCATCAAGGCTGGGTAATGCCATGTGGCACTAGATTCGGTGGGGGCCCCGCCAAAGATAAACGAAAGAAGCTCCGCCCCGCCCCGCCCCGGCCGCCCCGGACTGACAACGGCGAGCTCAGCCTAAGCCTTGAGCCGGCAATCCTTTTCCACACAGAGTCTTTCTCAAGCTGTGCACGTGCCTTCCAAGTCAGGGCAGTAGCCCCAAAGCCTTTACCCAACATCAAGGCTTTGGTGTGGGGGGTTGTGCGTCGTACGGTACTATGCGGTTGGTGCTCCGTTGCCCCCTCGATCTGGGACCTTTCCTGGCCATTTGCTGGTCGGCTGCATCTCCTTTTCAAAAGGCTTGCTGCCACAGGCTGGCTGCCTTTACTACTCGTATGAGTCACGCTGCTGCGCCACGAACCATTTCTAACGGGACTGTTCGACAAACCCACTTGGAGCTTCTAGTTTCCGCCATGCCAGGCTCGTTTGATTGGATTCTGAAGCTGGACGTTGGTGTTGTTGTTGCTCCTGAACGTCTTCGGAGTGCTTCAGACCGAGATTTCAGACTAAGATTTGACGACGATGCCTAGCCTGGCTGCTGTGCTGCTGTCTGCTGAGGCTTTGAACGCCTTGTGTCCTCCATCGGATTGCGGAGCGAAAATCGTTCACAACTTTGGTGGGGCTCCTGTCTCAGCTCTACTGCCGCGTGGGCCACATGGTCCAGCAGTTTGTGCAAGCGGTGTCGTCGGCCCTTTGGAGGACTTGCTGGGGCCTGTGGAAGCAATGAGCACAAAAGCTGCCACAACACTGGCAGACGGCTGCAGCCTGAAGGTGCAGAGCGTCCCAACAAACATCAAACTTCTCGCAGCACCTGCTGGTGTCCAAGGCATTCACACCTGCACGAGCACGGCAAGATGGGAGAGCCAGCCCGAGAACCGATGGCTGTCTTCATGTGTCAGTGCGCTGCGCAGAGAGCCAGTAGATTTGTCTAGGTGCTTTGGAACTGCGACTAGACAGGTACACTGGGCATTGGATCTGTGCGATCAGCCCTCCTTCTCGCAGATCACAAGGCCCTTTCGAAGTCATCAGCCTCCGTAAAGCTTGGTGAGTACCGGAAAGGCTAACCCTCGGCCCTGCGACACACTGCACGGCTCCTTCAGTCCATACATGTCCGTGCGCTCAGACATGCCGCAACGACCTTGCGTGATCGTGCAACTTCGTGATCCTGCTGGCTCAGGGATCTAGGCTTTCACGCGCTCTGTCTGAAGCAATCGGGATACTACTTCATAGAACCACCGCCAGCGCCTGAGTAATTCGGTACACCCTTGCACAGCTTAATTGCTTTCTTATCTTTCCTCGCGCCAGGCCGACCACAACCCTCACTCGTACCATAACAAGGACCCGACGAGACAGGGCTTCGAGTGCGGTTTCGACTGACTCACGAGAACCCAAGGGATCCCAAGGGTAAGGTAGCCAGTGAAAGCCTTTTCGCGATTCAGCCTCGGATCCACAAGCCGGCTTCGATATGACCGCATGAAGATGCCACAGATGCGACGGCTCTGACATCGAAATCTTGCAGTATAGGTGCCGCGGTTTTTGCGTGCATTGCACGCGGTGGACTCGCTAAAAGAGCGCTTCAAATTGACGTGACCGTGTCAGTTCCAAACCCTGCCATACTCAACTTCCGGACTCAGTGCCTACCTCCAGACGATGTTAGCCTTAGAGGCAACCTTTCGTTACACTGCCAGTACTTCGTCAACTTCAACTTCTGCAACGTTCACCACTTCTACTGCCGCTGCCTTACCGGTTGTCTCAGACATGAGGCATCGCATGGGGGACGAAGTTGGCCTGCAGCGCTGAAAGTGCAAGGCCACAACAACCACCATGACTTCTACAGGCTTTTTTTGTCTGCACTTGCATAAGCCCCGAGCCTGGGAGCAGGGTGGCCGCAAGTTTTGCGACCCTGGCAGTTCCCAAAGTGGCGCCGAACAGCATCTTCGCTTTCGAAGGCATGTTGGCGAAGCGTGCCCTGGAACCGTTAGCAGTCCTTCAGTTTGCCGCACCAGGAAGATCTTTCCAGAAGAAGCTGCCAGTTTGGGTGCTCACTGCCGAGAACGAGCAGCGTGGAATTCCCTTTGCTGCTCGACTTAGCCACAGCTCGCTCTCAGACTTCAGCTGCCGCGAGCAATGTAACAGTAACACTCCCATTCAACTCCCATGATGCCATCCTTCTATGCTTCGTGTGTTCTGCCCTGGTACACTCAGGCTCTGGAGCTTGCAGGTGGTCTACTGGCACTGATTGCGCTGCCCGTGGCCGGCTGGCTCCTCTGGCACTGGAAGCTGACACCCTGCACTTGCGCAAGCTTGTGCAGCTTCTAGGCGTCTACTACTTTCGCCGATCTGCTGCGTGCAAGACCCAGCACCATCTCGGTTCAACATGCGCAGGCTTGGCATGTGCATGTCCCAGGCCCGCCGTGGTGCCCGAGGAGCCTCAAGACACCGGTGAGGACGGAGAAGGGAGGGGAAAAGCGAGTGAAGCCGAAGTCAATGGAAGCCAAGCGGGAGCAACCAATGGACCCAGGCCTTGCTGACAGGGCCAGCGGGCCCGACCGCGTGAGGACGACCTTCAAAATGAAGATGCGAGTCTGTGTCGCAACACAGCACAGCAAAGGTGTACTAAGGGCGCCCGCTGTCCGCAATTGCTTTTTGCATCACTGGATGTATTGCCATACGATGGCCTGGTAGGAGCTGAAACTAGCTCCCTCGCCGGGAATTTGGGACAAAGGCTAAAGAGGTCTGTAAGTCACAAAGATGATAGGACCTCGCGAGCCGCCTGTGGGAAAAGGAAGAGGGCCTTTCAGGAGACATTTGGAGAGCATGGTCCGGGCTACAAGGGTTCTTTGATTTGGCAGCCATGCATATGCTATCGTAAACTACCGTGCTGTGTTGCGCCGCAGCATGCTTTAATGAAGGCTCAAGAGCATGACCTCGCGCGGTCGTCGCTGAGGCGCGGCAGCCTGGCAAGTGTTTCGCATCATTCGTCTCGGCATGATTTCACTGTCCGGCCCAGCGCCGTCTTTGCCTTTGACAACTCTTGTGAGGGATGCAGAATGGAGATCACATCGAGGACGCTGCTGCATGCCGCTGCTTTCAAAGCGTGCTCGGAGTTGCAAATTCTGCTGCAGGACGATTGCGCGGGTGCAGGCACAATGAACTGAATTGCCTTTGGCGGAAGCTTCCAATTTTCCAGCACTTCCTGTTGGGTGCCGCAGCAGCGGGCACAGGCGGGCGGCCGAGCGGATATGTCCCGAGCCCATGTCCCAGCGTCTTGAAGCAGCCCAGCATTGAGATTTTTGTCAGAGCGAAACTACGGCTCGTTGGAGGCGGAGCGACTGGTACCACCGCGGTCAGGGAGCAGCTGTCTTCTGTGAAGAAGGCAACAGAATCTGGCTTTTCTGCAGCTTGGACTCCAAATTCCACCACTGCCAGGAGTTGGACTTCATCTTGCAGCAGCTACGCGGCCCAGGCGATTTTCTGACACCCACCTGCAAAGCTCCCATCACAGATGTGCGGAGACGCGAGGTGGGCAGGTTCAGAGAATAGATCTCCAGGAAGTTGAGCGCCTGGTGAAGCACCTTGAGGCACGGCAGACGAGGGTTTTTTCGCGGGCAGTTCCGGCTTCAGCCTGTGCGAGGTCGATCGAGGTGAGCTTGCCAAGCGCTGCCAGCGACTGGCGGAGGAGAACCAGGCCAGTGGACATGCCATGACATGTTCTTTTGCGTGGGCGACTTGCGACCCAGTCCGTCCGGGGACGGTGCAAGACAGCATGCAGCTAAACCTTGGAGATGCAGCAGGGAAGGGAGCTTCTCTGAAAGATATGTCTTATAGACTTCATTGATCACTTGCAGAAGGCTTGCTGTAAGGCCGGGTGACACTGAGGGAATAGCAGCTAGGAGTCCCCGCGCGGCAATGCCAGGACCTAAAGGAGGCGAATCGTCACTTGGAGGCCGCCTCCTTCCAGGGTATCTCAGCATCGCCATGAAAATAGCGACAGCTTGCATCCAGCCGGAGATACTGTGGGAGCCAAGATGCTTGTGAGGTGGATCTGTCGGCAGCTCGGCGTGAGCTGGAAAATGCCAGGAGGCTGCGGGCGCACCCTTCCGGCCGTCACCCTTTGATTGCCCTCTGCTGCCATGTGAGGCAACTGCGGCATCAGCAGATCGACCTTCAGTTGAAAGCAGGTAAGCGACCTCTGAGACACAGATGTCAGAGAGTCTGAGGTACATGCCTGCTTGTTCTGACTTGTTCTGAGGCACTTCTGAGCAGCCAGAGGCAGAGGATGAACAGCCCTCCGCAACGGCCTGAGAGAGGAGGCTCGCTAATAGCAAAGACTGTGTCTTCTTTCTTGGAATCTGAGGCAGAGGAACGCCTCACACAGGAGTCCCTGGAGGTCAGATCTTTGCACGTGCCTGCAAGATCCCCTGCGGTATGCAAATATCCTCCAGGCGCTCCAAGCTGCCATGGCTTCCCCTGGATCCTCCAGGTTGGGGCGCTCCTCTTGGCCGTTGCCGTGATTTGCTGGTGCTCTTTCAGGCAGATGTCCAGAAGCGAGCTCACCCGAGCGCTTCGGGCAACCCAGGAGTTGGTTGGTCACGGTGAGTGGCAGCTCCGAGCCACGAAGCATTGTGGTTGCGACAAACTGCAGGAAGAGCTTGCCATACAAAGAGCTCGGAACCAGAAGCTGGAGCAGCGAAGGATACGTGTTAGGGTCTCAGTTTGGAGCCAAAGAGTTATTCACTGAAGGCAGGCATTCTATCCGTACTCCAAGCTGGAGACCTTTACATTAAAGCATGTGGTTGCGTGCTGCTGAGGACAGTCAGCGGTGTGAGATGCTTGCGGATGCAGCCGAGCGGCAGAGACTGGACTGCCGCCACAAGAAATCCGTCAGAGCTGCCCCTCGCCTTCATTGCCATGCAGGAGATCACAGCGATGCGGCTCGGTAAGCAGCGGAAGCTCGCCGCCCATCCGCAGGCGCCGCATTTATGTTTGCCAAGTTTTACGGCACAGCTATGCAGTCACTGTCATGTCGCATGCAGACCAAAGGCAGAATGTGGCATCAAGATCCTCAAGCACCCCGAATTCCCTTAAGCAACTGGAAGGGGTTGCTAGGGGCAGCAACACTACGGCCTGCCAGACGGTCCACAAGCCCAAGATGCTCCATAACCTGGCGCAGAGACCTTTGTTATTTGTGATGTCTTGAGCCTCTTTGTGCATCATGAAAGCGCATGCGGTGCACGCAGTGAAGTCTGGTGCAAGACTCTATCGGCCGGGCTAAGGCATACCATGCCGGCTACAGCCTCATTATCATGTTGCGCTGGAGAACGCTCGGCCGTTGTCCTGTAGTGCCTGGCATGTCCTAGCGTTGCGCAAAGAGGGACCTCCTCTCAGGTCAGCCGCGAAGTCAGGCCATGGGCCGGAGGCTGCCAAGCACCCGCACTGCAAATCTTAAGACGCGAGGGCTTTAATGTAGCTGTTTCGTGAGGGGCAACTGTGTATGCAGGTGAGGCATCTGGAGTTCCGAGATCCAACTCGGCACATGCCTCAAAGTTTGGAGATACACATACAGCACAATTGTCTCGGCTGTTCGTGCATCTGCTTCAGGACTTTGGGCGCCTTCCGCGGATGAAGGGTCGAGACATACCCTTGTAGTGTAATTGAAATTAGACTTTAGTTTGCATTAGAGGGCTGACCTGCCAAAGGCAGAGCTTGAAAAGGTTTCACCATAAGTCAAAGATCAGAAAGCTCACATCAACAACAAGGTCTTCGACATGGCAGAGGGGTGTCGATGTCGATTTGTGGCAGGGTGTTTCGTCCTGCTGGTCCTGCTTTCTTGGAGACTTCCACCTGGTACCAAAGTCCATGGGCAGGACGCCTCCACAGGCGGAGGCCACATTGTATGCCAGACTGTGTGGTTAAGCACGGCGAAGAGATGCGAAGAGGCTTTGATCAAAGGTGGACCGTAAGTAGTGCAACTGTGTCAGCGACTGTCAGCTACATATACTTATACCCAGCAGAAGGCAACGTGATGGCTAAGTATCAGAGGATGTGGCACAACAACTGCGACAAAAAATCTTGGCAGCTGGATTGCCATGGCCGCAACTTCTTCCAGCTCTTGGCAGGGATGAGCTCAATAATCGAGGCTTGGAAGGATCTGCAGAGAGAGCGAGAGAGGGAGGGAGTGCCCGAGCACCGTGCCCTTTCATTCCGACAGGCCGATACTCTGGCCAGAACCGATGTTTTGGAGGCAGGTGAGTGAGTCAGTGAGTCATTTTGAGTGAATATGACTCGGATCCAGGGTTTGACTTGTTGATACGATTTTATGCCATTTGCTGAATTGTGCGATTTGCCGCGCGAGCTCGGACTGAAATGGAGGCGCTTGACAGCACCTTGGCAGTGGTTGCTCTGCCTGCAGCATTCTCTCGCGCGGACCCGTGCAACAGATTCACTCGAAGACGTGCGTGCAAACCCTGGGCCAGAGGTTGGGCCATCCGTGGTCATGAGGACGAGCACTGGACCACGACAGCTATGCTCTCCGCCTTTGTAGGCGCGACTGAGGCCCATCAGAGCTCCCTCCCTGTTCCGGTTGAGACGGCACCGGAGGCGCTGCAGCCTTGGTGGATCATAGACTCCGGGCGGCTGACAGGAGATGCTTGGGGTTTAATTTCTGGGTCTGCGACATTCTGCTGAGGCGTGCTCTGGGTTTTCTATACTCCTGCTGCAGGCTGCACTACTTTGAGCTGACAATTTGGAGCCACGTGCGCGATGATGGGGGCCGGGGCTTGACGTTCAGTGCAGGACTGTTGTTCTTTGCTAAACCGATGCTTCGCGCTTCGCAGCCATATTGTGTTCATCAGTGCAACCTGAATAGAAGCAGTAGTATCGAGGGCTGACCGTGATACAACAAGGGGGGGAGGAGCTGAGCGCTAGGCGTGTAGCCCCGACCATGGAGCAAGACGATCACTACGCAGTGCTTGGGCTGACGCCAGCAGCCAACGACGGGGACATTCGCCAAGCATACAAGAAGGCGCAACCTCGGACATGGCATGCCGCCTGCAACTACCGGTCTCAGCCCTTTACCAGGCTGCCTTGCGCTGGCATCCCGACAAGAATCCAAAGGCAGCTGAAGCGCCGGCAGTCCTGAACACATGGTTAGCCTGCCTCTGAAGGCCAAAGCCGAAGCTGAAGCGAACTTCAAGCGCATAGCTGCCGCCTATAAGGCTGGAGTGGAGCTTGGCCACTCTCTGGTTCTTTGCAAAACCCTCAGGTCCTCTCTGATGCAGCAAAGCGAAGAGTCTATGACGAGTCGCTGGCCAGAGATGTACCGGCTTCGAGTGGTCACGTCATGTCTTCCACCTTCCATACAGGTTTCAGTCTCCAAGCAGAGTGACTTGATGGCTTCGGCCCGAAAGCTGCTCGTTCGCGGCAGGGGCTGGCCCTGGATCCGCGAAGGCGCGCTCCAAGCCCAGAGCCACGGGTCCGCCGATACCGATCACTCGGTTGCCGTGCGGCCCTCGCAAAACGGGATAAAACGGGCACAGGTTGCCAACTTGCGCCCTTCTTCAAGCCAAGGCCGGAGCCGGCCGTGGACCTGCAGGAGGCCTTCAACCTCTTCGAAGACTTCTTCGGACACGACCCTTTCAAGGCGACTGGGGAGTTGCGGTCAGTTGCTATCACTGAAAGGGCAGCGACTGCGTTGCATGACCAGATCGTCTTTGCATGCTTTGGTCTGCCCCGGCCGCACGCCAGGATTTCGATCGGATGTTTGCGAATGCAGGGCCACAGGACCCTGGCTTTCCAGACTGCTGGATCTTGAGTTGACATTTTGATGTCAGGAAAGAGTTTCCTGTGATGGCGTTGCTGCCTACATCCAGTCATCATCGAGGCTACCCTCGAGCTCTTCTCTTGACTTGCGGGAGCTTCAGAACTTTGTCTTTCCACGTGCAGGATCTCGGAGACCTACCAGCAGCCATCGAGGCCGAGGGGCTGAAACAGATGCAAAGACATGTTAAGTAATGTAAAGACTTGAAGACCAGCGCGGCTGACAGGGCTAGGCTTAGACAGAGCTTTAGGTGAGTCACGGCCAAACGGTAATCTAGGCTGCATTTCGGATGGACCCTCGGTTTAGAAGCGGTCTGGTGGGAGTCTCCTGCATAACTAAACGAAAGCTAACGCCGGGAGTTGGATCTGAATCACAACATCTTTGAGTGCCCTGCATCGCTGCCATCCGTCCGCATTTGGCACTAACCAGTTCTCCACCTTCCGAGGTTTCCTCCTTTACCCTTCAATCTCTTACTTCGTGCGGTTCTTCGGTCCTTCACTCTGAGCACATGGTGCAAGAAACGCATCCCAACCCTGAATGACGAGCAAGCCGCAAGACTGCTCCCTTTTTGATGGTTCTGCCCAGCATCAGTTTGTGTGCCTCTCCAAGAAGGGGTTGCAGTTTGGCTGTTTGCAACTGCTTTCTGCACTTTATTCGTGCCAGTGCCCTGTAGCACTATGCCTCTTCATGATGACTACCTCGATCATACTGCCGGTACCAGCTCCGGCACGGCTGTTGTGTGCATTTAGTTTTTCTTCTTACAGCGGGCTCGCTCTTGCTCGGATTCTGGATTTAGGAATTTAGGAGCAACTTCGCGGCGGAATGAGCTTCCACAAGTGTGTATCGCCCGGTTTCCAATCCGGCTCCAGATTTTACATCGAAAGTCCTTAAGGATTTGCTGCTGTCCTAGATGTAAGTAAAGCAGAGACGTGCTTGTTTCCGGAGCGCACAAGAGCTGCGAGCACAGCTTGGAGCGGCAGCAGCAGCTCAGCAAACAACTGAAAGAGCAACGTGCTGAATTGAAGAACGAGCTGCTGGTTGCACTCTTGCGGCTCGTATCGTTCTGGGTGAGCATGCAGGAGGCTCCAGCCAAAACGAGTCCCAGGAGCTCGGCACGAAGCTGGAGGCAGCAAAGGGCAAGGCCTCTAACGAGCTGATTCAGCTGCTCCAGCTGGTGATTCTGCATCTCTCACTTCAGCTGGCCCATGGCGGCCATGGTCTCACGGCCTCCCATGCAGCTGTCGGGCATGCTGAAGCGAGAGATGCAGAATCACCTGCTGGAGCAGCTGAATCAATCAGTTGCCTGTCCATGCGCCGTCACATCGACCGCAACACATTCAAAGCTGAAGCTGCAAAATTGTTGCTTCAACTGGGGCTTCGTGGAAGCTGAGAGCATCTCAAAGGATGTTACACCGGCTGAGTTACCTTTCCCTGGATTGCATTGTGCATGAAAAGGTGATTCCCCATGAACTATGTCCAACTCACTAGATGGAACACTTAGTTTCCGGGCAGCTGCAGCTGTACACCGACAGTGGTTATGGTCCGGGCCCTGACAAATATGCAAACCAGTGATGAACTTGATTAAATGCAATGTCGCTCTGTGAAGGGCTCGTCAATGCCATGCCAAGAAGCAGGTAGACCTCTACTAGCCTGTTCTAAACTCGAAACCATACCACTGCAGGTCTTCAGAGGATATCGTGTTCAGATGCTGGAAGGAGAAGCCAACATCAGGGGAAAGACCGCACAGCAACCTTAGTCACCTTGGTACGAAGGCGGTTTGCAGACAACTGGCCACACCTGAACGGCTCCGTGATGCGTAGCTGATGCCTCCAAGTTTCTCCCGAGCAGGTGCCGTCAAGCGGATGCAGGTACCGCAGGACCACGTCCTTCACCAGGATGGATCGGTCAGACGTCGAAAGTAGCGGAAACTGACATCGTCTTGCGTGGTTCTGGGAGGAGGAAGCCTCGCGTCGAACGAAGTGAAGCTCTTGCGCTGCCTGAGCCACCAGGCTCAACAACTCGCCGGCCAAGCCTGCAGAGTACCAATTACCAATGTGTACCAATTGAAGCTTTTGAAGCTTGAGCCGGGCAGGGTGTGGCGTATCGCAGGCCAGGGGCTTGAGGGCAGGCTGTGGTGCAGTTGTTGGCGGCTGGACCTACTGTAGCAGACAGGTCACCAAATTTGACAGATCGTGAAGGCTCATGCCCAAATCCCCAGCCGCCCAGCGGTGCAGTCTCAGCTTGGTTTGCTTCCCAGGTGGATACGCAGGCCCTTCATACGACGACATCGTGCCTGTCGAGATTATACAAGGCGTTTCGATGCACCATCTGAAAATCCGCGCAGCTGTGCTTACAGGGACTAGGCTTTGCAGGTCAGTGGGCTCGATGCGCAAAAGGATGGCTTCCTATGCGCCTGGATGGCTGCAATGTCTTCGAGGCAAAAAACTCGAGGTGAGTTTGACTCTGAAACAGTCTTTGCTGTCAGCTGCTGGACGGCGTCCTACGGGCACGCTGTATCTCCTCCCAGGCGCAGAACATGCACCGTCTTCGTTTTTTCATGCCTTCGTGTATACCAATGCCAGGGCGTGGCTTTCAGGAAAAGCCCGACTTTGGAGGATTGCCGGATGCACAGCAGTGGCTTCGGCGGCTCCGAAGTGTCCTGCAGGATCGTGAGCTGATGGTTATGGGGCCCGTCTTGCAAGAAGTCGTGGACGTCGTGGACCGCGCTGAAGAGAGCAACACATTTCGCTGTGTTCAGCTTTCAGCCTGGAGCCTGCAGGAACGAGTGGGCACTTGGATACGTTGCCAGAATGGCTGGCTTCCGCTGGCGATAGGCGTGGCGTGATACATGTTCGCGCCGGCAAATGAAAGCTTTGTGATATCCTGACCCCGCTGAGGCGGGCAGCCAGTCTTCGAGCTTTTCGCGGACTTCACCGAAAAGGAGAGGAGGCAAACTGTCCAGGTCCAGGCCAGGGAAAGTCGAGATGGGAGCAAAGCGGACCCTGTGTGGCTACATGTCGTCCGAGGCCTCGGACTCCGCAGCAGGCTCTCCACCGCCCTGGTTAGGAGGAAGCCGAGCCACGCAAGCATGGGACATGTGAGCGAACGGCCAACGCGGAAGGATTCTTGGACACCTGGACATGGTTCTTGGTTTGATCCCCAGCAAAGTTTCCAGTCTTTCCGCAGCATCTCTGAAGCCCGTGCGAATTTGCATCAGGTTCGGACGTCCTGCCGGTGGGGCTTTAGCTTCGCAACCAGCCGGGCTCCAATAGACACGTGGAATCGTGTGCTTTGCTAAAGTCGAGGCTCTCCGAGACTAACGCTGAGCTTGGCAGCGATGTCTGGTATTTCGCTTTGGGTGACGGTATCTGTCGCGAGGACAGCTGGGTTAGGATTCTGTTGCTCATCGATGTGACTAACAGCTGCTAGAACCTGCCAGAATGACACGAGTCAAAGGATGATGCTTCGCGGCTGGTGGTGGTCTCTGCCGTCTTTGCGACTCTAACCAGTTCCTGCTCCAGATCGACCAGCCACCACGAAGCTCTCGGCCTGCATCTTCCTGCAAATAGGCACCGGAAAGACCTTTGTTCTTCCGCCCTGTGCGGTGCGGCCTGGCCGAAAGCGATTGGCCGGTGGCAGAGGTCCAGGCGCAGCTTGAACTCAGGGTGCAATCAGACTCAGATGCAAGACTCCGGACTCCGGAAAGGGCCCGGAGATATGATGAGACTGGATACAACTTGAAGGATCCGACACTCGAAGCAGCCGCAAGCAGTCCCGCGCGGTCGGCGCGGTGATCGCAAAGCCGTGTGAAGGCATCAGGAAGTTGCAATTGGGACGCCGGCACTGTCCAGAGAGTCTGCAAGCCAAAATCTGCTGTTTGTTCTTTTGTTGGCCGAGTACTGAGTGCTCAGTTCCTATGTGCCCGTCACGAGCGTAGGTATTCTCCTACGTTGTCGTGCAGCCTCTGAGGTGGGGAGGGGGGGGGTCCAAGGTTGGCCTCCCCAGCAGATTAGCCTTTGGGGCCTTTGGGGCTTGGCACTTTGTCGCAAGCATTTCGCAACACATCTGCAGCAAACAGCAGCGCAACAGTCGCAGTCCAGCATCACAGTAATTAATGACATGTCGGAGGAAGATGAGAAGGCAAGAGCAATCGGAAGTATCAGTAGTTTGAACATCGCAATGCTGGCAACATCGCAATGCTGGCAAACATGGCAGAACTGCAGAATTGAAGAGCTGCAACAGGAATGCCGTCGTCTCTCTGGTGGCAGCTGTAGCAGTGGCGTCGGCGGCTGCAGGAACCGTCTCACTTGCCTGATCCCAATCCACAGAACCTGGGTAGTGTGCAGTCTACTCCGACCCGTGTTCGGGTCTAAGACTCCAAGGCCTTCGGCTCCGGCTTTCATGTCGAGTTGCTGCAAGCGGCCAAGGCCTCAGCAGGCTTGTGAGGATGCCTTGCCGGTGCGATCTCGATCCCCGCCGAGGTGGCCGGTGTCGCCGTCTCATGGGTCTTTGCAAGGTGCACTTCCGTCGTCAATGGCTCGTGGCAGCGCAAACATGAGAATGTTGTAACCAATTGCACGCCATCGAACGCCCCTTTTGTCATCAGGCTGTCTCTGCACTTGGGATCCCAGGCATGGTTAATGCCAGGCCGGGCAGAATCTCATCCATCAATTCTTTGCGGGGTCGGGTGTGTCATTCACAGGGGGGAAGCGAACAAAGACTAACAGTTGAGCCGCAGGGGAATGAACCACAACCTGCCAGCATGTGCAGCTTCGAAACGTCGAGGCGCTTACTGTCACGATCAGCATGTGACTGTAGTTTGGCAGGTGCAAGGGCAGCAGGGCTCCTGGTGGGCTTCATCTGTGTTCCGACCTGAGCGCAATGATGTCTTGAAAGGTTGTCACTGTTTGCTGGCCGCAGGCTCCAGCAGTTGCTCTAATCCTGTTCCCAGTCCGGGAACTCCACGAAGCATTCATTGCACATGCCTTGGATGGGCCACAGAGTGCTTTCACCTTGCACATGGTTCAGAAATGCCCGGACGAAAGGCGGCAGAACCGTTCTTACCACCCGGAGTACTGCGCCGCGTCCTTACATTCCGAGCGGTTCCTGCCCGGAGCGACTGATTAGGCTGCTGGCGTTTTGCTTGGTGTCATGCTGCGCCTGAGGCAAGGCTTCTGCCGAGCTGTTGGTGACAACCATGCAATCGCAGGTGCCGTTCCAGCTGTGAGCTGCACAGCTTGTAGTTTGCCACCTTTGATGCGAAGGTGGCTCTCGGGTACGTTGGTGTCTATGTGCTTCGACAGTCGCAGGACACTTCGGGGTTGGGGGATTGACACCTGAGAGGGTATTTGCAACAGATGAACTACGATAGCTACAATGCATTGTGCAGTGTTGGCCGAGATGTGGAGGCTCGAAAAAACGTTCTGCTGACTGTGGACAAGAGTCGAGCTGCAGCATCCTGGCTTCTGCTTGTGCTTACAGATCCATGTGTACTGACCCTACATAGATCCTAGCAATGTAACTTACATGTACATCTGTCATAATTTATCTGACCATAGCTATACCGTTGCCATGTTCTGTCTGCAAATACAGGAAATATATTACAGCCTAACAGGGAGTATGTGTACGTATGGATGCATGCATGCGTGCATGTATGTATGTGTGTAAGCAGGTAGAGTAGCAAGTAGGTGGGTGGGTAGGCAGGTAGGTAGGTATTCCTGCAGCCATGCCTGTAGGTAGATATGCATCTGTGTTTGCATGTACCTACGTACGTATGTGTGTGTGCGAGATCCCCAGTATGCTGTCACGCACAAGTCCTATGCCAGCCCGGAGTGCTTCTGTCACGGCTAAGAGCTGGCATCTGACGAGTAAAATTTTAGAAGCCTGACAGAGAGCCTTCGACGAAACTCCAGCAAGTCATTCAGTACATGTGACACGTCATTCAGGCCTGAACCTCAGATACTGTGGTGATTCGGCTGTGGTGGCGCTCCGTATCGGGTTTGTTCCATTGTTGATGTTCTCAGTGGTGCCGTCCTGCTGCTACTAAGGTGGGGGTCGGCGTCCGTTCCGCTCCGTCTTGTGTTATGTGTGCGCTGTTACACCAAAACAGATCCGAGATTCTACCCATTGTGGTTTCAATCAGTGTGTATATATGTTCCTCAATGTTGTTGGATTCATGAATACCGGTTGCCTCGTTCGGTACACGGATGTTCGAAGTGATGATTGCACTTTCAGGATTAAGGATCCGTTCGATTCGAGATCGCTCGACTTACCCGATGTTGCGGTGGAGCGCAAATGGTGCGTGACTGCTCAGTGAGTGTTCGAACGGTGTCGATCGTTAGGGACTGGTGTATATATGTATATATATATATATATAACATACATATATATATATATTTATAACACAGATTACACACAGGACCAGCCAGAGATGCAGAGATCGATGTCACAGTGCAATTACACGAAGCCAAGGGCGAGAGAACACTTTGTAGTACATTTGTCAAACATGCCTGGCGCCAAGCATTTGACGAATCTGCTGCTGGGCGGCAAGATGTATGTACAGCCACAGCATGAGACAGCATGAGGCCGTTTGGTTCATGGCCTTCGTTGCGATCCCGTACCTGCCGGCGCTTGAGCGTGTGCCGCACCGACAATTGGCAGAGGTCCCTCGGCCCAGGCTCCAGCGAATCCTCGTGGAGAATGTGAGCGACTTCACCTTCGCCCGCTTTTCCAACATGGTGGAGACAGGACAGAAGCGCCGTGTGACTTTTAAGCTTCGCACGTCTCCGCAACCTGCGAAGTTCCGCCCTGCAAGTGCAGGTCTTCGCATCGGAAGCTTGTTCCCAACGGCGGGAGCCTTCAACCTGCTTGGGGTCTTGGCAGAGGCCCAGATTATATTGCAGGTGGCCGACCCGAACGGGCCTCGCACAAGCTTGTGCCGGGCTTGTGCATGATGTGCTGGAATTGCGCCCATGTTGATCGTTTTGTTTTGGGCATCTTTGGGCCATTGCCACAACTACTTCAAGGCTGTCTGCAGTGGCATCGTCGAACCTCACAGTGAGGTGCCAAGACATATCGAGTTTAAGTGATGCCCATGCAATCGGAGGCTCTGTTCATGGAAGCTGCCGCCTATTCATATTCTTTATCCACTAATCTCTTGCTTTCTCGCCTTCTTCGAGGTTGATGCCTACGCGGGCGAGATCGGCAGCATTGTGCGAAGCGATGCACCTAGCCAATGTTCGAGCAAGCGAGGTAGCCAGCCAATTCCAGCGCGTTTCTTGACATGTAGCCACCCGACTGCAGCTGGGCATTCCATCGTCGAGCGCGTGCTTTTCACGGTGCCGAAGTTGGCGCTTCTGCCTGGAATACTTGTCAGCGGAGTCCTTACTGGCGGTATCTTTCCACCCGCTGTCCAAGAGGGACCGTTCTCTACTCATGCTGCGTGCAGATATTGAAAGTTTATAACATGTACGTATTATAATGTTCTCAACCAGGACAGCAAAAGACCTGGCAGAAGGTGTTATTTCTCGTCGTAGTCAATGTCCAGATAGCGCTCTGGCAGGGAAAAAGATTGGTGTACATTGACGCGTATGTGTATACAAACATTTGCTTGATTGCCCGCTCTCCGTCTCTCACTGTATGTGTATATTCATATAAACATTCATATGAAATTACAGGTATGTGTGTGTGCGCACACATACATATACAACACACATGGATTTACACTTATATCTAGATTCGTATATGTATGTTTGAACGTGTGTTTGCTGTTGCATGGACTTGGGTTGTACATGTGTATATATATATATATGTGTGTGTGTGTGTGTAAGAACCGCGCGTGCGCATTGCCTATCATGAGCTTCAAGGTCAGCCGTGGCTCCTCTTGCTGGTTCTGCCTGGGAACATGGGTAGCTCCCTAAGAAGGGTTCCGGAGCTTTCAGTAAATGAGCCCTTTCCACGGCGTAGAGTCTCAAAGCGCTGTGCAGGCCTGGACTTTGTCCGAGCAAAGGCGTTCGCGCACCTCGCAAGCCAGGACCACAGGCATACTGTCTGTGGCATACTCACAGACTGGCAGTGTCAGAATGTTGAACCTCCAGCTTGCTGTGAGGTCGCATGGAAAAACTGAACCGCGAGATCCAGGAGCTTGCGTCCAGACGCAGCAACATGGAGCCGGGAGCCCTGTGAACCTGTGTGCTGGAGAGTGTGCTGTAGAGGCATTGGTCTGGTTTAGAGAAAACTGACAGTTTCAGGTGTTTGCTGCCAGGCTTTTCGGTCGCTTCCGACGAGATCACGATTAGGTTTCGGTCATGACAATCGGAGTCAGTGATAACAATGGAATAGCGATGGCGATGATGATAATAGTCAAGTAAAAGCCGTCATAGTGGGGAAAACCAAGGCAGTTGGGATGATTGCGATGAGTGTGGAAACTCGTCCTAAGGAAGGTGTACTCAGTGTACTCGATTATCGGAAAGAGCAGCATGAGAACGGTACTCTGCTTGGTGCAAGGCGGGTTTCGGATAGGCATTAAGAAGCCATGTTCCTACCTCCAACCCGTCTGTAAGGCATAGACAGTGTATCGACCTTTTCCGTGAGCCTTTGGCGCAGAGTGACTGGAACTTCATGCACTCTTTGGAGGGCTTCCAACTGTCTGTGTAGATGCCAAGAAGGAGAATTCCAAGCTTCGGAGCTCATGTGTTGGTTGGGGTCGTGACAGACTTAGCACTCCACCGTGCGAGCATGGCCTCAATGTGGACAAAACTCGCCAGTGCGTCGCAATGGTTCTGCGAGCCGCAGCGGCAGTCGAAAGCGAAGAACTGCCAGAGAGTGTTGGCTCTCGAACATGTTCCAGACGAGTCCTCAAGCAAGCCCGCAAAGTCAGACTCGCGCAGTGCTGCGCAGAAAAAAACAGAGACGGAACTTTTCGAAGCTCTCCTTGCCAACCGGCTCTACATGGAAAGAAAGCAGAGCGCGCTGGAGGAAGAAGTTAGTCAGTTGCAAAGTTCTTTGGAGGAGACCAGGTACATGTTGCATCATTCCCAAAGAGTCTGTGAGGAGCTGCAAGCCCAACTTAAGGATGAGAAGCGAATGAGGGAAAGGCAACAGGATTATATGAAAGAGCAACTCGACTCGCAAAGAGCTGAGCTGGAGGACTTGGGCATGGAACTGGAAAAGGCCCATGCTGCTCGAAAGAGCGAGACGGATCTATTGCGAGCACTCATGCAGCGTGCCGCAACGCAGCTCAGTGTTCGGGGGGAGCCGAGCCCCGTACAGAAGCTCCGTACTGAGCTGGAGGTGGCTCGGTTCATGTTCTCAGAGGAGCAAGAAGCTGCAGACGAACTTCGACGGAAGCTGCAGTGCCAAGAAAGCACGATATTCGAGCTGGAGCAATTCGCAGAACTTCAGCGGTCAAATTTTCTGCATGAACATCGGCGTCACAAGGACTTTGAGGCCGACGTCGAAAAGTTTCTCCAGCACCTCGGGCAAAGACACCCCGGCATAGCACGCGATCTTGCAATGACATGCGCAGATCTACCCGCTCCGTATGGAGCTGGAGGTGGCTGAGTCACTGCTGAGTCTGTAAGGACAAGTTCTTGTAGCAGGGGATTCTGGCGTTGCATGGGGCTTTGTATGTGCAAATCCCACCTTCAAGTTGAATTAAATAGTTGAAGGCCTCTCAAAGGGAGCCTGGCGTCTTGATGGATCGTACTGTGATGCGCTGTGCTTGCGGAAAGCCATTGTCGCGAGTTCCAGCTTGCGAAGGTTCACCTTTCAACCGCCTTGGTGAAGAGCTTGAGGATTCCCTTGTTCTCAGCGTGGGGTTAGTGCCGGTGAAGGCAACACGACACGGAGAGCGCAGAGATCCTCCAGCGGGCTGGGCACCCGAACCTGTCGGCTTTACCATTTTCCTTCGGCAGATGTCCGAGGTCGGAGCTTCCTCGTTTGCTGAGGCCGGGACCCATGTGCTTGAGGGCATGTCGGGCCCGGGCCCAGCGCAAGAGTGAAGCGACGACAGGTACAATGGCGCTTGAGGGCGAGGCATCTCCAGGACAAGTTCTTGAGGCTGCAGGCCATGTGCCAAGCAATCCCATGGCGATTCACCTGCTGTATGGATTCAGGCAGCCCTGTGTTGTTTTGGTCCGCTTTCAGGCCCTGCGACTTTTTCGGGGTTTCGTTGACACCCTCTACATTCAGGATGGCGTTCTGCACCGATGCGCTTACGTTCAGTCTGTCAGTGAGAAGCTCACAGAGGATTTCGTGGCTCCTGGCATCGAGATTGCAATTGCATACCTTTTGCAGCTCGAGACTCAGATTGCCCGCGACCTTTCCCTAGATAACCATTATCTCGAGCCAATGAGGTTCCAGCAAATCACAGCAGTGGACATTTGGGTATACACCCGGGTTGTGGAGGATTCTCATTCGAGAGTCTGGACACCGCCACGCCGGTGCCACCATGAAGTGTGAAAAGCAGCTTGAACCGACAGGATGCGCAGAACACTTTGCTGGTCCGCTTCCGCAGGGAGGCACCCCGCGCCACCAAGAGAGACACAACCATTCTCTGACCTGAGTGGATGCATCTTTGCTTCGCCATCTTCTGCGAGGCAGCCTTGGCCACTGTGAAGACCAATGTAGAGCGGTTGCAGGCGAGGCAGGTGAGGGGCTGCGCAGCACGTCTACAGGGCGATGGCCTGTGACTGCCAGGCCCTTTCCAAAAGGCTGCAGAATCGCACGAGACTGCGATGCAAGGTGGCTCTGCTGAGTTGCGGAGAGCCGAAGTGGTCAGTGCCACCGCAAGCAGAGACAGGGGCTCAACGGGTTGGAATCTTTTAGCCATCTTAGCCTTAGCCAAGGTGGACCCCGGGGCCTCGGCGATGCAGGCAGCTTCGAAAATCGACTGCCAAAGTGTGGTCTCTGCCAGCCGCAGGTAAAGAACCTTAGCTACAGCCGTGGTTCTCAACTTCAGGCCGTGCTTTTCGTGCTGTGCCTCAGTGACTCAGTTCACCCGTGGCCAGTTTCCACAATCGTGAGGTGAGGCTCGGAAGTGTTTCGTTGGAGGCTGGCCCATCGTTCATGTCGTGCGCTGGCCGCAATCCAATCGTTTCTGTTCGTTCGCTCAGGCTGGAAAGGCCTATGCCGTTACAGGCCTGGAAGTGGCGAGGGTCGACAATCAGAGCAAGTCAGAAGCCCTTCTCTGGCCATATTATTGGTTCACCCGTTCAGTTGTTTGTATGACCGGCATAAGCTAGCTGGCAAACAGACTCGCCTCTGGCAACGCATGTCGGCTCCATGTTGAAGAACTAACCAGCGCACACTCGCCAAAGATTGCGAAGTGATGTCGCGTGCCCCGAGCCCACTGGCTTGACATGCACAGATTCTCTCCAGTGGTTTGCTGGACTGGATCTCCCCAAATGCGACATGGTGCCGCGGATGTACAGACTATGCCGCACAGGCGCGCAGTATAGACGCGGAGAGGGAACGGGGACGGAGCGAGGGACAGGCAGTGAGTGATCGCCATCGGCTGTGCTGAAGAATAGAGAGAGAGCGCGAAAAACAGCGAGGCTGGGTCGTGAGGACTGCCCACGGCTTATTCCCCAAGCCACGGACACCATGCCTGACACTTCCGGGGTTGGGAGCACCATGCTGTTCGGAGGTGACGTAGGAAAACGTGGGAAAGGCGGCACAGGGCCATGGGGCCTTTCTGGGCCCACATGCAGCCATGTAAACAGTGAAGAAGCGAGTGTGCGCGTGTCTTCTCGACCGCGGAGGAAGAGTCTCTAAGAGAGGAGCGAACGAGAGTGGGGGCGGAAGCCCTGACAGAAGTGAAGAAAGCCCAGGTCCTGCCTGGGCCAAGTTCTTCCGGACGATCTTGCGGAGGAAGTCCTCAAATGTCGGCGAAGATGCCAGGCTTGCAACGAGAGCGACGGTGTGTTCAGAGATTGTGAATGCCTTCGCTGCTTATGCTTAAAGCACGTGTCTGCAGGCAATTGGTAGCAGTGCCAGAAGAGCGATTCCATGAGCTCGTGGCCGCAGAAGTGTCCTTCCTGGCCACTGTCCCTGTTCAGCCCGTCAGCATGCAGCAGGCCCACAGCCGGTGCAAGACAAAGCAAACGGCAATCTGCAGATGGTGGCTAGTAGGCTGAGCGGGTTGGTGACTTGTTGTCAACGCCTCGCGTCGTCCGCAGGCGAAGAGTAGTCTCAACAAAACAGAGAAGGAAGCAAGCGAAGGAGGCAAGGAGGGCGGCTCGAGCAGGGGGCCTGGGAAAGGGGGCAAGAGGCCGGGGGCCAACCGAGCTGCTCAGACCACCAATCAATGTCCACGCATGCTCCGAGAATTTAAGGGATGAGCGGGATTCCCGGTCCATGCACGGGCGGAGGGGACATAGGGGTACTGTCGGAACCTCTGACCGCTTCGCTAGTTGATGATGTGCGCAGATCGTGACCTGGTGTGATACCCGGGACATGGTGCCGTTCATCCAGACGGAGATTCCAAAACGGTTCGCACTCCGGATTCGGCTGATCGAGACCTTGGAAGGCTGGCAGGAGCGCTCACAGACGAGAATGGCTTTAGGGTGTAGATAGCTTCGCTAAACAGTGTCTTGCACAACAGCATTCCAGCGTTCATGGCAAAGGGAGTTGGTTAAGGCGGCCGTGCAGGGTACCCGGGATGCGGCTCCCGCTGGCGCCCGCGGAAAGCCAGATTCATTCTAAATTTCTATATGGCGTCGAATCTCTGAGTTCCGGCAGTATTGTTGCGGGCAGCATTTTGGACGCGCCTTTAGGGGACACATTTTTGGACAAGCTGCGCTGTCAGAGCCGCAGGAGATCCCTGAGCTAGCGAAGCTCCATCAAAGATTAACGAGGTGGTACCGGGAATTGGTGTTGCTGAATTACAGCACGCAAGATTCCAAACACCTCATCAAGACATTGAAGGCCATACGGGACGAAGGCCGCGACGTCATTGGTGTCTCAGCATCTGGCATCTACAAGCTGCACAAGATGAAGCAGCAAGACACTAAGTTCTTGGATCGATGGTTGGACGGGTTCCTGCTTTCGAGGAGCTTCGGTTCAAGAGGCAAGTCTTCCCAATATTGGTTGGGTTCCCAACGGCACCGCTATAACAAAGCTTTGGGGCATTGGTAGAGGAAGAACACACACTCCGAGGATTGGCACGAATGCCCTGTTCGACCAGTTCGTGGCTATCGCCAGCAAGCAGGACGGAGGCTTGGGCCGTCCGACCGGCATCACAGACCCTCGCAGGGACCCCAGCTGCCGTTCTGTGAGATGATCCCGGCACAGATTGTTCCAGATTCCAGACGTGCCACGACTGCGCCCGTTTGCTGGGAGGCTGCAATGCCTCGAAGGTTTGCGAGCATGCGGCGCAGATGTCAGCCTACCTCTGCTACCAGCGCTTCGGCCACGAGCCGAAGTACACCGTGGAGGACTTCAAGGCGGGAGAAATCCAAAAGCCTCGGCCTGGCTCTTGTCGCCCTTTGCACTCTCGACTTCTTCGCAGGCCGGAGAGATGGGGCCACAAGCGAAGCCCTGCCTCTTCAGCTACATTCCCAGCTATCTGAGATACATCATGTGCGAGCTTCTGAAGAACAGCTTCCGAGCAACGCTCATGACATCTTCGAGTGTGGACGACATCAGCAAGCGCCCAGTTCGTATTCGGGTTTGTCGTGACGAGCATCGGGTTGCAATCCTGGTGAGCGATGAAGCAGGTGGAATTCCCTTTGAGGTGGGTCCGGATTTGCTTCATGGCCGTGTGCTGCAAGGTTTGAGCTGTGGCGGTGGGGTCATGAAAGCGTAGTGATAGAGATATCTAGGCTGTGTGGGGCGTCCGTTGTCTTTTCCTGTTTGTACGACTTGCCCTGCCAGGTGGGTGACCGAATTTGGTCGTACATGTACGGTACTGCTGCTAAGCAGGGCAGCAGTAGCCTAAATATCGACGAGGAGGACTCACTCTCCGGATATGGGGTTGGGCTTCCCTGTGCCCGACTCTATGCGAGATACCTTGGAGGAAATCTGTCGCTGACTTCATACCCAGGGTACGGGACGCAAGCGCATCTTCTGTTGCCACGAATCGACTCCGAGCAGGTGGAAGAAGTACCGGAAACGAGCTTTCACGACCCCATCTGACTGGGATGAAAAAGCATTTGCGGATGCGCGCGCACGTGTGTGCAACGGGAGGGAGCAGGGTTGGCAGTTAAGAGGAATGCTGCGTGCAGCATGTGTCTGTCTCACGGCTAAAGCTTGGGAAGGATGCAATGGGTGCGGCAAGAGCACACTTTTTGGGCTGCTGTCTGCATGTGGTCGCGAACTGAGTGCATGTTCCGCGCAGGGAGCAGGCACCCCAAGCCCGAAAAGTAGAATCTGCAGTTCTGAAGGCAAGCATCAGCCAGAGCTCCCGGCTGGCCTCGATCAACTGTACTTTGCCGTAGCCTCAGACTCGAAGTGTCGTGTTCCGATTTGGGAGGACAGCCAACCTGAGAGCTTAGCAGCCCCGGCCAAAGCTGCCAAGGAGAACTCCTTTCTGGCTGGGGTGACCCTGCCATCGGACTGCTGCACAGATGAATCTTTGCTGAGTTCAATTTCGTCGCAGACAGCCTCCATCCACAGGACGAAATTGCAGAGATTCCACAGAAGCTGTACTGTTCGAGTCCTAGTCATAGTCTCTAACACCATGAACCTTTGGTACCTGGCCGGTAAGGTCCTTTGTTCATTGAGCCTATGGCCTGGATGTTCGGGAGCTCGCCTGAGAAGTTGTGGGTAATTCTCTAAAGTAGGGTCCCTTTTAGGTCCCCCATATAGTACGGCATCCTTACAAAAAAGGACCCTAAAAGGGACCCTAATTTTGAAAACTACCCATGTAAATCTTCAAGGCACGGAGGGCAGCTGCCGAGAGATTCCGCCCTCATTGCCTCAGGCATCATTCGCTCAAGGCAATAAGAGCGGAGGCAACGCTTGGGGTACATGCGGTGACTGGTGGAACATGTTGCTGTCGGGCCAGTTGGACTTGGCAAGGATTTAGAAAGCCTTGAATCACAAGCACTGCCCTGAGATGTGTTGGTTGCAAGCTGAGACAGTCGGTACCGAGACGCACCAAGCAGAATATTGGCAGGTTCAGCACTTTCTCGCCGAGCTCGACTTTCGTCCTTCAGCCGGTCTCTCAGTCTGCGGCTGGCTGGTCCCGTCCGATCTGCCTTGCTCGTCCAGGCATCTGCGGCTGACAGCCCGATTGATCTTCGAGTGCAGCGCCAAGCATGTTTTCATTGCAGGACAAAGCTGTCGGATCGTGCTCACTTGGAAAGGCCGTCAAGGATGACTGGTACGGAAAACTCTCCGGCGGACAGCGGTCCAAGGCTGGGCGTGCTTTGCTGCCGGGTGGAGTACAAGCTCCTGATGCCACAGGCGGAACTTGTCAGACAGATCTTTCTTCAGCAACGATGCCCCCAAATCCTACTTATCGATGAGGCAGGGGGCAGGGCCGGGCAGGGCCGGGCAGGGCCTTTGGGCTTTGCACAGCACCAGAGAGCCTGGGATTCGGGAGGCGCTCGGACCCCTGGACGCGCAGTCCAAAGCCTTGGTTCAGAGGAAGTTGAAGGCCTCGGGCCTGGGAAAATCTGGGAGTTTTCACGGCTTGGCTTTTGGCTGTTACTAGCTTGGCTTTACGGCGAATCTCAACTTCAGCTCTTGACACTCCACTTACTTTGCGTCTTTCTCCGCTGTATACGATATGATCATTATGGGCACTTTGCTGGCATTCATCACATGAGACATGTGTACATCGGACACAGCTCCCTGCTGCCCTTCTTTGCACATGTTCAGGCCTTCTGCAACCAATCGCTGATACTAGTCCGCGTCTCGGGTTCATTGCAGCTGACGCTTCGCAAACTTCCTCTCTCCCAGGCCATCCACCACCTGGACGCTCACACCCACTGCGTGGAGCAGAACTCAGTTCACGGAAGCGGCAGGACCAGCGAAAGGAGAAAACGATTGCAGTCAAGGCACCAGGCGGCTTCTTCGATGTCAGTCCGGCCTCGTTTTCAGAGTGCCATTCTTATGCAGTTAGGATGTCAGACAGCTCCCGACAGCAAGAGCCAGGACAACCTACACTTCGGGAAAGGAGAAGCCTCTGTCGTGGGCACCTGCGAGGCTGCGCCTGCGGAACTTGCACTCGTTTGTTGTCTGTCATGACACTATTTGACAGCACCTTGGCAGTGCCTGACCACGTGCGTTTGCTAAGGTGCCGAAGACTGAGTGAAGGAAGACGTGGGTCGGTCTGGCAGTGCTCTTGCCGGCGAAGATCAACCCCGTCGCATACCAGGCACTGAGCAGGTGTGTTCTCGGAGGGAGCCATCGGGCGCACGGCGGAAAGAAGCCACAGGGCATGCTGCCCCCGGAAAACTTCGATCGTGGACTCTGGTCGAGAGCCAGTGCTGTCAGAAAAGACAGCCACGGGAAACCGTACGCTGGAGTAAGCTCGGTGGGGCGACGGCCCAGGGTGCAGGAGCAGCGCTGCCCGAACTCGACCTCTGAGCACTGCAACGGCATCACACAATGTCACAAATTTGGTGGACGGAGACTGCGACCAAGCACAAGGGACATCACGCGCAGCATCAAGCCTCTTTCTGCTGCCACCTGTACAACTAGTGCTTTCCATCGCGGGCTCAAAACCTGCTCCTGCATGCACGAGACTACGTACACGAGCTTTGCACACTGTTTCGGAATGGCCACGCGGCCGTCGTTGAGGAGTCTTGATGCTCCTGCTCTGATGTGTAAAGCTTCGGCTCGAGCTTGGCAAGAGCCGTAACAATGCAGCCAGTTGGCATTTTCACCCCCCAGCACTCCGTGAGCGACTCGCTCCGCATGCGATCAGGCCGTCGGAACATGTCAGCAACGGAACGCCTCAACTCTCAGCTTTGATCAGCTTTCTTCAAGTCCCCTTTCAAGTCTCTCATGGCAACCATGGAACAAGTCTACCCTACCCGCAGCCTCTGGTGACATGTCCGAGGCTCAGAAATATGTCATATGCAGTGCTTGCAGGAAATTGCTGGATCATGATTCACAACTTCGCGACACCCAAGGCGCCGGCGTCATGGAGGGCAATCCGCTGGAGCACAGGATGTGCGTCCATTGGTCATGCCCTCGGCTCCGTTACTTGGTACCTGCTGGGCGGTTCTAAGCCTCTAGTCCGTTCAGGCACTGGAGCTTGTGAGCATAAGGCCGAAACCGTCGTGCCTTGCTGGATTCGTGCGCTTGAGTGTCTTCAGAGAATCTCAGCAGCTTTTCAGGGGGCTCGACAGCTTGATCGAGCACGGCTTGCTGGAACGAGTTTGTGAAATGCTGCCGGCACTAGAGGCGCCATGACAGCTGCACTTCACAGATCTGGTTTTGCAGAAGTGGCTGCCTGGCCGTCATAGAAAGTGCTTGACAAGCAGCGTACGTTGGCAGATTGGGCGGGCGACTTCTGCTTGCAGAAACATGCAGGCGGGACTTTGGGACTTCTCTGCATGCCTGTGTTTCTGGACATTTCTGGACCCCCCGGTAGACCTGGCATCGTTAGGCTTTCGCCAAAGAGGCTGGGGAGCATGCCATGTGTCTGTTCGAAAAGCAATTAGCGCAGAGTTTCAACAGGTTTTCCAACGGTGAAAGCTGTTGAGAGGTACTCCCTCGTTTGCTGGCAGTTCGATGTCGACCAGGGCGGTGACCTTAGGTCTTAAAGGTCGTCATGACTTTTAAGCTGAGCTAAACACTATATTATGCTCCTGAGTTGACCAAGGCTGCAGCTCCAAACAGCGTCTGCCAGCGAGGCTCATGTCATATTTGCTGACACCATCTTGCTTATCATGGATAGAAGCAGAATGTTGGAGAAAGAGGATATGCGCGTGACGCTTGTTTACGAAATATCTACGTTGAGCTTTTGTCCAGGCGGCGGTGTTTAGCGATTGGATGCGGGACACGCGACAGTGGAACTCCGGGCCCAACACTTCGCCTGGCCCTCAGCCTGGTGCTTCGGCGCTTGCTGTTGGATACTTGTCTTTAGACCTTGCTCCTTTCTTGGCGAATTTGGGCACCTTGCTGCAGGAAGCCTTACAACGTCGCGAAAGAAGGCTCCTGTTTTGAAGCTTCACGCAGCAGTTCAGCGAGTCGAAGCCAGTGAGAGGCTGCGTGGCTGGGGATGGTGGCGCTTGGCAAGCCCCACAGCTTTTTTGAAAGTACTCAAACGGCTCAGACTCTTTGCCGCTTTGGTTCGACCCCCGCAGGATTTTTCTGGAGCAAGGCACCGACTGGTTGGGGTCGGGTCCCAAGCTCACGCAAAGCGCCGTAGCCGTAGCCAAGACATGGTTTGGCTGTTCGGCTGGTCTGGCCTCCAGGTTCCAGGGCTTGTACTGCAACTTCGCAAGCCCACGACCCAAGCCCAAATGGGTGCGGCGCTCTCAACCGCTGCGAAGTTTCGGGCATGTGGATAAGACGTGACGAATTCACTCTCATGTTGGCAGGTATCATTCCGCCTGTGCTTGCAAACCCTAGAGTTTTCCTGCGGATTCTTCGCACTGCCGTTCTCTCAGAACTTGCTTGCAGTCGGGACTTCTCCTCGCCTAAACACTCGGAAGGTCAGCCGACAGAAGAACATGGGGCCTTCAGCCCTTGGTCTTCATCTTCAATTACAGAGGGGATGACATGCAAACCGTCAATCGCGCATGTGTTGAGCTACAGTCCAAAGGCCGATGCGGTTATCCAACAGAGAACTTTCTCCTCTTCCGCCAGGGCAAGCGCTGTTTTGCTTTGCAGACGCAGCCAGTGACTGGTGACCTGCACGTTTTGCAGCTTGAGAAGGCAGGCTGATAGTCGAAGATGTATCCTCAGCACAGCAGCAGCTTCAAAATGTTTTGCAGGACCAGATCCGTGCCGGCGTTCCATACGAGGTTGCCGTGCACCTTGATTGGCTCGCACCTCAAGTCTGGAACCAGGCACATGAACTGTGCGAATTGACATACTGTCTCAGGGAACGGGGTCTTCTGGAGCTCTTCATCGATGGGGCGTGTGTCCTCAGAGACATTCATTTTCAGGCAGCCGTTGCAGCCCGGAAACTGCAAACATCGAAGCATCGTATCGGCTTTGCTCAGCTTCTTCCCCTTCTTGGAAGGTTGACCTGGAGCCACGATACATCGGCCTTTGGCCTGAAGAGCACTGTGCATGGGCTCTCGGATCGTTTGCCCACGCGACGAGGTCTCTACAACTGGAGAAGCCGTGCAGTTTGTGGCTTCTCAGAGTCGGGGACGCAGTTTGCAAAGCGACATCGATCAGCCGATCCGAAGGAAACGAGGCTTGCTAGGTCTAGGACTACTGTTTTGGGTTTCAGACCGTGACACCTCAAGAGAATCTAGTCAGCTAGCTGAGGATATTGGTTGGCGGCAGGCGGCCGTATCCTGCAGCTGAATCGCCGCTGCAAGTCTGGAGGCACACATGGTGGATGCAGATGACAGAGTTTGCTAAGTGCAAGGATACGATGGGTGTAAACGAATTCCAATCCATCAAACTATCGAGTCCATCTGTCGGTTTATCCATCTGTCTATCTGTTTGTCTACCTATCGGTTGGTCTGTGTATCTACCTACCTACCTACCTACCTACCTATCTATCTATCTATCTCTATCTATCTGTTTGTCGGTCCATCTATCTATCTGTCTATCCGTCTATGTGTCTGACCGTGTGTCTATCTATTTGGCTGTCGGTCTATCTAGTAAGTACAGATCTGGATGGGTAGATAGTCAAAGGTTCATAGATGGGCATCAAATCTACACATATATAAATATATATACACTCACACATACCTTTGCCTTTGCGTGCTAAGAGAGAAGTTTGCAGCTGAATTAGGTTGTAGAGTCAGTCCCATACGGCAGGGACAAACGGTGCCAGCAGCCTTCTGCAGCATCCGTGGCACCAACCTCCAGTATCCTTCCCGCACGGTTGCTATCTCGATCACCCCACTCCAAGCAACTTCCCAGTCGTCTTCCAGGACATACAGGGTGACTTCGGGGGTCTCGTGGGGGGATTCCGCAAAGTTTCTACTTTGCTGATCCGCTCACCCGCCACTGTTCCCCGTCCAGTCAGCGAAGTCGCGGGTCGCCTGTCGTAGGCCGTAGGCGAAGTTGTTGAGGCCATTCTCAGGGACCTCTACGATTTCCTTCTCTGTGTAGTTGACGATCTCGATCACCTCGTTGAAGTAGCGGGAAGGCCGCCAGAACCGTGCAGATGATGGAGATCAGCGGGAAATATTTTTCCAGGAGCTCGTAGCAGAAGTCTCGAATCACATCATCCCAAACTCGAGGCCCAGGCCAGCATGGCATTTTCTTGCTGCAAAGGCAATGATAGGGTGTAGTCCCCATCCTCAGCCTGGCTCTATCCTCCTCCAGGCCCTAGTCCCGGGGCTGCAAGTCGGCGTGTCCCGGACATAGATGGCCAAAGCAAAGCGTGCCGGCAACGACACTCCTGTACTGGGCTTTGCGTCCAAGACTTTTGCCTTCAGGGCCTTTCCACATGGCCTGCAGTCCGGACGAGGGGCAGCCTCACAGGCCTTCCCGTAGTCGCCCAGAAAACCTGGAAATCCTTCCTGCCCTGGCATCAACTCGGCGCTTGACCCATGCTTTTCAATCCAGGATCGGTGGTGCCATTCTCGCGGGGGACAGTCGTCTGTCCCCTCTCTGGCTCAGCCAGCTTCATCCTGATGACTCCCGGCAACAGTTGCTCCTCCTGAAGGGCTGCCCAGAGCGGCTTGGGCGCTGCCCTGACTTTTGAACCAAGCAAGCTTACTTTGGCTTTCGGGCCAAGACCTCGAGGGTGGGAGTATTGGTGATGATGTGGACTGCTGGGGCGGCAATCTTGTACAACATGTCTTTCTTAAACTGCTTCACAAGAAGGTTCCGCAGGAGCCTGGTAAAGCCTCCTGAGAGCAAGTCCTACGCTTTGCCTGATGGAACCCAAAGCCAGGCTAAAAATCGATTTGGGAAGAACGCTGCCTTCACCGCCAAGGGTGTCGTCTCGTTGGTATTCTTGGGGTGTAAGGAGACCCTCGGCTGTAGCATTCTCCGTGATCTGCATGTGCCACATGGCTTTCCGTTGGAACCATGTCTAGCAAGCAACCACGGCGTGTAGAGAACATCCTTGGCCAGGTTGCACACCAGCTTCCGCCATCATCCCCTTGAGGAACTTCCTCCGAAGAATTGCTGAAACCCAGAAAAAAAGGTGACGGCCTGGTCGCTTTTGAAGTGTGCCCTACAGACAGTTCGCAGATCGCACTAGGAGTCACGAAAAAGCACTGCCGTTGAAAGTCCAAGGGCTCGGCTTCTTCTGGAGAAGTGACTGGTGTGTTCTGTGAGGCTCCTAAGTGAAAGGTATGCACGCAAGCGGAGAAGCTTATCGATACGAACGACGACCAGTAGACTCCATACTGCCCAGACGTTTCCAAGCCTCTTGTAGAATCACCCCCTCCATTGGATAGGTTGTTGTAGCTTGAGGACAGATTTGACAAACAGCGGGTGTAGGCCCGCGCTGCACTTTTGTCTGTGGCGCTGGGCCAGGAACTGACCTGGTATACCATCCAGTCCTGCTGCTTTTCTTCTGCGGTCTTGTCTAAGCCTAAGCACCTCCTCAGCCTCAAAGAGCGCAGGAACATCCGCAATATAAATACACCGTCCTTCTCCCGGAATTTTTCGGTCTCGATCGTTTCACCACGTTCTTGGGTTGCGGATACGACTCTGGTTGCGCTTCCACTGTCCTTGCTGCCATCTGTCCTCGGCCTGCCCGATCCATGCTGCCACCCAGACTCCGAGGGCCAAGACTCTGCGCCCCATCTAGCCCGGCCTTGATTGTTCCTTCGGCCCATCTGCGGAATGGCAGCATGGAACCTAAGTGCCTCTTCACTGGGATCGCCGGCAATATCTGAGCAATGCTCAGACTCGATCCGAGACCGTACCTACATGCATGCAAGCATGGTACACCGTTTTGCACACGTGCACTGGCTTGTCAGTGCATATACATTTATGTACAGTATAGACCTGGTATGGTTCGTGTAATTGTGCATAGCTATTGAATATCAGATTAAGCACAGAACGGCGAATCATCAGATGTGCATGTACTTTCAGAGTGCTTTGTCTTTTGAAAGTCAGACATGCTGCCAGGGTGTCGGAAAGCCAGAATCGTCGCGAAGAAGGCTCCCTTCCACAGCCAGAGATTTTAGCATTCATGGATGGGCCTTGTTAAGTTCAAGCAAGGTTCTGCGCTTACAAGGACTCGAAGCCTGACAGCCCAATTCCCACATTCTGCGTTCTTCCTTCATGCGCAGGACGAGTTTGCTAGTGGCCACCATTCTGCTTGTGCTTCTGTTGGTGGCGACCTTGGCTTCAAGCTCAGGCATGGAATTGGCACTTAACCCAAGATGGCTGCAAGACTTCACGTGACAAGCGCATGCCTGAAGTCACGGAGATCAGGCCCACAGATTGGATTGACAGAGAGCCAGGACACAAGACTCAACACTACTCAGCAGATACACTAATCATGATACTCCCTACACACATAGAAAAGAAGACGGGCGCGCATGCCAAGGCTCTCAACTGGTGGAGCCAAAGCTAGCGGAAAAAAGGGAAGCATGTTCAATAGCACTCTCTGAACTCAGAACTTTCGCATGGCTGCATGTTTCACGGATGAGACCATGTCCGTTGTCTTGCTGTGACGAAGTCGGAAACCTGCTTCTGCCTTGGGTGTTGGATCAAGTCAGCTGGTGCCGGAAGCCCGTTCCTTGCGGGCCTCTGCGGGAGCCTCTGAAAGTCGGGAGATTATAATTGGGACCCATCTTTTTTCTAACCTCGACAATTGTTTCTTGTTAACCTCGAGTCTTGTTTTAAACCTCGACTACTTCCACATGCCGGTGAGGGACGGTGCAGTTTGTTTAAACCTCGGCTTTCCTTTAAGCCCGGATGTCCTTTCTCCGGGGGTCACCTGATGTTTCAACTGTAAACCACTCGCGTCGTCCGCCGGGGGTTTAGGGTTTATATTTACAGGGGTTTCGGGTGTTGTGGTTGAAAGGGGCTCAAGGCCTAGGTAAATTTAGGGCTCGTTGGGGCTTTCGGCGTTTGGGAATCAAGGGGATGTGGTTCTATAGGGCCTTGGCTTGTTTTGGGGTTTTCGGGTTTAGGGTATGTTCGCCTCGGCCCCGTCCTACAAGGATCCGCTGTTCCCCGTCCTTTTGCGTAATCTTATTAATCCCCTCCGCAGTGAAATTGCACCCCGAAAACCGCAAATCTCTGTTCCCCGTGACCCCAAATCGCCTGGTAGGGAGTAAGGCAGTTAGGGTCCCTCCCGGACTTAAAGCTATGCAAGGCACTCGGACTGATAGTCCTTTCTATCACTGGGTTAAAGCTCTGGTGTGTCTGGAACCACTTGACGAGCAGATCCGGCAGCAGATATGATCACGTGCCCAATCATGTAAAACATACAACATTGCTGAAAACATGTCTGCATTTAGGCAAACACCCCGCGCTCCCCCCTCCCCTCAAGCCCCTAAACCACGAAACCCTGAAAAAAGGGTGGGGCTGCTGTGTCGGAGACATTTCGCAAGGCTCGGCTGGACAATGAGGCGGCGGCAGAGGCCCGGCGGATGCGCGCGCGGATGCCCAGAGCCTTTTTGAAGGGGGGTTTAGGGCTTACGACCTAAACCCTAAACAAGGGTTTAGAGGGTTGAAACAACCGCTGACGCATCGCATCAAAACCGGCGTTCCATCGTGTCCTCAAAAGAAAGGCACGGCGTGGCCGTGCTGGCCGCTGCTTTCAACCAGGCCCTGGCTTCAGGGGTTTCAGCATATTCAACTACGACGGCGTACATATACTGTTCCGGTGTTCGCATGGGGCTGGAGCTGGTGGACTGGTGGAAGTTTCCATTCAAGCGGTTCACCGGTACAGTGGACGATACACCAAGCCTCGCGGCCTCAATGCTTGCCCTCTCGACCGAATGCAGGTGCCTCGCTCTGGTTGGGTCGGAGAGCCCAGAGAGCCTTCGTGATTGTGGCTTGAGATGTTGGAAAGCAAGTTGCCAAGCATGGATCCCGAACAGTTGCTAGGCCCAGATGGTGGCTTCCACTGCATCCGCCGATTCCTTCATAGTCCCTACATAGTCCGGGTACAGCCTACTCCCGAAAAATCGTGTAATATCTTGCCGGCAGGCGTGCTCTTGTTTTTGATGAACGCCCGCCTATAGTCTCCTCAGGCCCACTGCCAGTCCACCGGGCGTCAGGAGAAAACCAGCGTCCACACACGTACAGTACACGCATACAACATGCATACGCACATAGACACATGCATACATGCGTGCAGACATACATACATGCATACATACGTACGTGCATGCATGCATGCATGCATGCATGCATGGATGGATGGATGTATGTATGTATGTATGTTTATTTATATGTTGCTTTGTTTGTGTGGTTGTTGGTTTGTTTGCTTGTTTGTGTGTGTGTGTGTTTGTTGGTTTGTTTGTTTGTTTGTTTGTTTGGTTGGTTGTTTGTTTGTTTGTTTGTGTGTTTGTTTGTTTGCTTGCATGTATGTATGTATGTGTGTTTGTAAGTATGTATGTATGCATGTATGTAGGTCCGGGATCGAGCGATCCGGAGCGGATCAGCATAGCTCAGGGCCCCAGTTCGACATGCAATGAGCCAAAACAAAACACCCCCCCGGGCAGCAACAGCACAAAAAAAAACACCCCCCGGCAGCAACAGC